TCCTTCAACCATACCAACGTTATTGTTTGGACATGGCAATTTTGTAAGTTAGACCGTGTCAATATTTATTTTTTGGCTGTGGCAAATTTACTTTTTAAACCATGGCAAAAGCATCTTCCTGACCATGGCATTTTTATTTTCTGAACCATGGAAGATTCATAATTCATTACGTGGCAACTATTTAATTTTTAAACCATGGCAACTTTATTGTTTGCACCATGGTATATTTCATTTTTCAACCATGGTAATTTTTCTCTGTTTGGACCATCACTAGTTCTGTATTTGACACCACAACAAAATTTTATTTTGGACCATGGCAAATTTATTACTTTAAACATGACAACTTGTTTCTGTTTAGACAATGGGAAAATTTATTACTTCAACAATAGCAAATTTATTTCTTTACCCCTTCATGTCTACACAACCATAGAAACATTTATTGCACACACCATCATAATTTATTGAGTTTTTTTTAAATTCAACTTTGACAACATTTGTTGAATAGAGCATGGTAAACAAATGTAGACCATGGCAATTTTGATCACATGGCTTCATTTTTTCCATGCGTGTTAGATAGAAAAATATATATCATGATTTACTTGTTTTTTATCCATGATAAAGTTTTAATTCAGCCATGTGGATTTTTTTCTTTTTCTTACATATCATGGCAAATTTTCTGATTTTTTTTTCCTTTTTTACATTTTGTTTTTCTGAAAATGATTGTACCATTCATTCTTCATGGCAATTTTATCATCTATACGATGGCAAAATATCACCCTAAGTTTTTTCAACGTATATGTGATTTTTTTTTACCATGAATATGTTTGTCCTGCAGGTTTTAACATGGCAAGTTTTGTGATTTTTTCATTTTTCCCGTACTAACTATTGATAATTTAAGGAATGTTCACTGTGTGTTTTCACGAAAAGTTTTTGCAATTTTGTGTGGGCCGCTTGAGGCCCAATAAAGAGGCTAGCGAGGGATTGTAGCGAACGAAAAACGTTCGCTCGTCCCCCCATCCTGCTCGAACGAATCGTTTGATTCTAGTGCCTCTCCTACCGATGTCAGGTGGTTATCGGGGTCCAAAGTATAATGTGTAAAATCAAAAAAGAAGTGCAGTTTAGAAAAATACATTAAAAGAGACACGAAACTGAAAAATATTATATACAAAATTTTATGAAACTTCATAAAGTAACGTAACACTATCATAAAAAAAACTGAACCATCACAAAATTCATAGGGCTTTAGCAGTTCTGTATAAGAGAAAAACCGAGCAAAGGAGCTCACATATATCACAAACAATATATTATGCAAGCACGTGACATATAGCCACCCGCAGTGGCGGAGCTTGGTGGGGGCCAACCTGGGCCATGGCCCTCCAGCTCATA